GTATAGGCAAATTAGAGGCACAATAATTATGGCTATTCTAGATAAAGAAGGTTAGGAAAAATGTCTGTTAATTTATTGTTATCTCAAAATGATAAAATCAAACGGCGGCAATCGTCCCCATGATTTACCCAATTATACTTACCCGCTAATTTATTAGCAATTTTAAAATCTCCATCAGCTTGACCAGGAACACCAGGATGATTTCTAATAGTAATTGTATTGATTTCCTCATCTAGCTTTTCGCCTAAAATTTCCTCTACCGTGGGTCGAACTACTTTTTGCCTATAATTTTTCTCGCGGACGTTCTTAGCAAGCAAGTAGTAAAAAGACATATCAATACTATTATTTTTGTCATGCTTTCTCAACCACTTCCGGTTTTTGTAGCCAAGGTTCTAATTCTTGGCGGGCTTTTTGAATTAAATTTAAGAAAGTTTTATTATCTGGCAATTCTCTTTTCGATATTACATTTTTCAAAATTCCTTTCCTCTTTTATAACCCTACTTAAAATTATTACAATATGCGAAATAAAGTCAGTATTTATAGTTTAATTTTAGCATCTTTCTTGTCAAAATACTCAGCACAATGCCAAAAGTATTTGCTCAAATCTTTGGTATTCAATAACTCAACCACCTTTTCTATTGCTTCTTTCATCTCCTTGTAATTCCTAGGTCTTTGCTTTTCAGTTTGTTGTCTCAAGAGACAAAAGACTAATTCAGTAGGGTTAATCATGGGAGCATAAGCAGTAATAAACCTTACTTCGATATTCTTTTTAAGCATCTGTTTTCCCACGCTAGGCAACTTTGCTTCTTCTCTCTTTTTTGGAGCATGATGAATCCGAGCATTATCCATAAGTAAGATATTCCTTTTATCTCCAATAGGGTTAATCTCCTCTAAAAAATCATAGAATACTTTCCAATCAACCCTTTTATCAGTCAACTTCCAATGAACAACTCCTTTTTCTTTTAGATTGCTAATAGCAAACAAAAGAGTATAATGTTTTCCCTTACTACTCGGTCTTTTGGAAACTGCTCTTTTGCTTGTTACAGAATAACCAAACCTTGGATCTAATTTGGGATAGAAAGAACATTCATCCAAAGCAATAAAGGGAACATTATCTAATAGTAAAGATTTTATTTCTTCATTAAACTCCTTGGCTTTTTGTTCGTCTAATTGAGTATAGTGATAAGTTAGTTTTTTTCTAGTTATGCCTTCTCTCTTTAGTAATCTAGACATATTAGACTGATGCAAAGTTAAAGCCGCTGTTTGAGTCAAAAAATTAATCATGTCTTGCTGGGTAGCAGTATTATTTTGCTCAATGTAAGTTCTTAAAAGTGGTAAAATATTCTGTGTAATTTTTCCTTTACGACCAGTTGCTTGCTTGGGTTGGTCAGAAAGTTTAACTTTCCGATAAAGAGTTCGTTCGCTTACATTGTAAAAAGTTGCTATTTTGCTTCAAGCATAACCTTTTTTATGTAAGTTAATTAAATGTTGTGGTTCTAAAGATAGGTTTAGTAAATTTGTGTTATTCATATAATTTTTGTATGTATTCATATGTATATAAAATAAAAGTAAAAAATTTAAGAGATAGTGCCATCATAGACATAGGTTCGCATTTGTTGTCTTTTTCTTAAATTAGTTACTAGTTTTCAGTAGTCTTTTTTGTGATTATAATACAAATCTAATAAGCAGTCATTACAAATAAATTTCCCTTTATTTTCTACTTTTTCCGTCCAGTAATCTCAGTTATTTTTTTGACTGTAATCTCACTTAGGAACCACGAAGGTAAGAGAGAAAGTTTTTTGGCACTGAAAACATTGAACTTTTTTGGGTGAATTGAGTGGCGAGGATGGTTTTTTCTTTTTGGTCTTCATATATATAGTTTTATAGGTGTTTATATGTTTATGTAGTTATTTAAAAATTACTAAACAGTTTCTAATATTAATTTAACACATTCTTCCATATCTATTGCTTCACTAACTGGAAATGGTTGGTTATTTTCATTTACTTTGTAAACTTGATACTTATCCTTTTTATTAGTAGTAGTTATTACTCCTACTACAACTTTGCTAGGCGGAATTACTGCCGACTTTTCTTTAGCTTTCTCTCTATCAAAACTTTCAATCTTAAATAATTTTCTATCAATTTTGTCTTGCAATAAACTCTTGCCTGTAGTCTCGATAGCAACTACCAAATCATCATTCAACCAAATTAAAAAATCAGGATAAAACTTTTTAGTAGTCCTTTACTTAATAAAGGGATTCCATAACCGCTAAAAACAGGATTGCGAGTTCAATCAAGACCCAAACCATCGATTACTCGAGCTGCTTCTAACTCTAGAGGATTAAGGTTGCTATAATACTGATGAATGCTATTATCAAACTCATGAATATCTTTTTTTTTATTTATGCTAATACTAGGAATTGGTTTACAATTATCATAAGCAGTAATCAATTTAATAGTATTCATAAAAGTATTAACAATTTCTTGGGCAATGGTTTTTAATTCATTATCAGCCTCTGAATTGACTCCAACTGGAAATTTTAACTTTTTTTGATATTCTTTGCGGTTAAAATCAGTTAAATCTAAGGCACGAGGATTAATCTTAATAATATTGCTTCGTAAGACATTTTTGGCACTTGTTTTATTGTAACTAGCAAGTTTTTCTCACTTACTAATAGCAGGAGATGTTTTTCCTATCTTAATCTCAGTAATAGTTCTTCCTCCATATGGTTCAACAAAAGAAGGAGGAACTTTCGAATAATCTCTAACCTTATTTTCTAAAATGTGTTGAATATTTAACCTAGTTAAATCCTCATTAATAGTTCCTATCTTAGGAAAATATTTAGTTTTTCTTGCTGGACAAAGAGTTAATTTGTCTTTCTCTGAAGCCAAAATTACTTCATTTTTAATCTCGGGAACATTATTCTCTAACTCTTTGCTAATCTTTTTTACTATTTCTTTAAATTCTTCATTACTATTGGCTTTAACATGAAAGTAAGCAGTATTAAGTTCCTCAAAATCTTGCTCATAATGGTGTCGTTCTGGCATCCTTAATACTCTTCCAATTAATTGTTCGGCTTGGATGTCACCACCAATGTTACGGTCAATATAAGCCATATAAACGAGAGGGTCATCTCAACCTTCTAACAATCCTTTATTAAAAATGATATGTTCATAATTGCCTTTTAGGAAAGTTTGATAATCATTTTTCGTAGTGCTACTGTCAAAAAGGTTAAACCTTTTGTCAGGAGGATTATCTTTATTAAAATCTACCCTAGCACAAACGGCAATTTTACGAGGGTCTATTTTACATTTAACTACTAAGTGATTTCAGATTAAAATAGGGGGCGATTTTCGCTGTTCAAAAGGTAAATCTAGGTTGTCTTTTTGCCTAGATTCAGTTTCTAGAAGATTAGTCTTGCAAACATAAATGGCTTTTAAGTTTGGTAAACCTTTCTTTTTAGCTAATTTATTTAGTTTATTTAAATCTTCTACTAAACTGTTAATTATTCCTTCCATTGAGGTCTCATCGTAACCAAAGGACAGTAGTTTAGTTTTAATCAATCCTTCATTAACCACCTTTGAAGTAGGAACCGACACTACTAAATCTTCCATTTCTATTTTAGCCTGTTCAATTAAACCTCCCAATCTTCCAGCATAAGTTGGAGTTCCAGAAGCTAAAATTATCCCTTCTGGCTCTAATTCTAATAGCATGTCCACTTGCTGAGAAGTAAAATGATGACCTTCATCATAAATAATGAATAGTTCTCTTTTTTCTCCGGCAAAAGTTCTCTGTTTTAATAATTCTCAACCTGAAACCCCTCCTTCATCTTCTCCTTTGTCATAAATCAAACGATAATCTTCTTTATTTTTAACGTTAATATTAAAAGTGCTAGTAGTAGCTAAATAAATAATGTGACCATCAGTGGTTGGCAAAGTAGAGCGTAATTGGGAAAGAGGATAAACTTCTACCTTAGGAATTAAAGGATTAAACTTACCGTTCGAAGAAAGGTTCTTTAAAGTCTGTTCAACTACTACTTTACTATAACTTAGTCAAAGAACGATTGAATTCTTACTTTTTTTAAGCAGTCGTTCAGCAGTAGCAGTTAACATCGCAGTCTTGCCACTTCCTGTAATTGACTTTAAGAAACAAACAGAAGGAGTTTCAGCAGAAATTTCTTGTTTAAGAATTTTTTCCACATGCTGGTTGAATTTTTCTTCTATTCTATCGACTACATTCTCTTGATAAGGATATAATTTTGTTGTCATAATTTATTCGGCTCCTAGGTCTTTCAATATTTTTTCAGGTATTTGTTCAAATTCAACATTAGCAGTAGAAAAACTACATAAGCGGGCATAAACATGATACTTATTAGTTGATAATTCAGTCTCTTTGGCTTCTTGAATTATTTGATAGTAAGTTTCTTGATTTAATTGTGATTTGCCATTACCATTTCAAATGAGGAAAATCCCTTCATTTTGTTTGTTTTTAGCAATTAAATACTGAGAGTTAGGGTTATTAAAGATAAGTGAAAAAGAAGTTATTTGACTAGCAAAAATGGCTTCAATAATTTCTTTCCTTTCCATTTTTAATAAAGTTGCTTCATCAATAGTTTTGTCTAAGGTCAGGAATTTAAATCCTCCTCCTAGTGGTTCATGTGACTTACCATCGGCTCATTGACCGGTAATGACTGCTTTTAAGCGTTTTTGAAGCAAGGTTCGACATCAATTTTTTTCTTTTTCGTCTTCTTCTTTGGGATTAAATCCCTGTTCAATTAGAATAAACTGCCACTCATGCTTGTTGTTGCTCAAAAATTTGGTGGAATCAGTCGATTTTGCTCTCTCTTTCTCTGTTTTCAATTCTTTATTAAATTGTAAAATTACTTCTCCAGTGGTGCCAGTGCCAGCAAAAGGGTCTAAACAAATTCCTCCTTGAGGAGAAGCGCCTCACAATTGAAAAATTCTAGTGAAGAGTTTAAGTGGTTTGACTCCGACAAAATTACCTAAGTCATACCCAATTCGAGCATGAATTTCTTGAGAACTTCCCTGATTGTGTCCTGACTCAGAATGAGGTAAAGAAACATTGCCTATTTCAAGAGGAGAAAAATTTTCTTTGGCTCAAAAAGTGGTCGGAGGCAACCCTTTTTCTTGAATATCTTTTAAATATTGTTTAACGGCTAAACTACCAGTTCCGCTTTTACCAAAAAATATTTCTGGTCAAGGTTTGTTTTTTAGTATCTCATATGCTTTTTGAGAAGATTTTCGAATGGCAGGGTCAGTTAATAAAGGATCTTCATTTTCTTTGTAAGGTGCTTTGCTTTCCTTGATAACTAAAGCAGTAGTTCTTCTATCTCTTAAATCTCTTTCTTCATATTCGGAACCTCACTGCTCTAAAACTGGTTTCACTCGCCCTTTGCCCCGCCGCCAATGAGTCCTTGGCGGCGGGTAGACTATCTTTCCCGTGAAAGGATTTTGCACTCCATAGACTAAACCATAAGAGGGAGTTTGAGCAGTAAAAGATTTAGAGATTCATTCCCCATTAGGGTCATTATCGGGATTTTTATAGTCACTCAACATTTTTTCAGTTCGCGGAAGAAGGTTAGTATTAATTTGTTCTATTTTTTTAGTATAAACTAAAACATACTCGGTAGCAGGATATAAATGTTTAGAGTCGGCTCGCACTGCCGTAGTTTTCTGTCAATTAATAATTCCTAATCTATTCTTTTCACCAAATATTTCATCACACATTTTCCCTAAATGAAAAAGTTCCCGATAGTCAATACAAATTGCTAATGCTCCACTAGGCTTTAACATTTTTCACATCATTTGTAAGCGAGGAAGCATGAATTTCATTCATTTAGTATGTTTAGATGAATCTTCTTCTTTGATTAATTCTGTTATTTCCCCATCATTAGGGTCTTCATCCCACTTATCATTGTAACGAAAATCTTTGCCAGTATTATAGGGAGGGTCGGTAATAATTAAATCTACTTTACCATGATACTGATAAAGTGTAACCATGGCTCACAAATTATCCCCTTCAATTACTAAATTTTTATTTTTATCTTCTTCGCTACCAATACTTAATTCAGCAATCTCTTTTAAAGTTCTAGGTTTAACTCTTCTAGCTACTTGTTGCGCATTAGCTTTACCAGAAAAGAGAATTTTGATACCTCCTGCAGTAAACTCTTCTCTTTCACTAATACTAGTTTAGTTAGAAAGGTGATAAAAGCTCCAGATAACTATAATGGAACCACTTTTGATGATTTAGAATTTGGGAGAGGGTGAATGGAGGAAGAATAAAAACCTACTTATGAATAAACAAAATTGCTCTCAGTGTGGATATGTGGAAGGAGGTCCTTATCAGCGTTTGTGAGAGTTTGATAATAAGTTACTTTGTCGTGGTTGTGCTATTAAGACTTATGGCTATAAAGAAACACTTAACCGACTAAGTCAAAGAGAAGGATTCACTTGTGATTTTTGTCATGAATGGAAAGTGATTGGTTTTAATACTCCTCTCTCTAACAAAGTTGTGGAGGGAAACAAAACTAAATGTGGGATTTGTTATTATGGAAGCAAAAGTGTAGAGTGTTGCGAAATATTAAGCCTTTTTGCTAGTCATGCCAAGAAAAATATTGTTAAGAATGAGGAAGAGGAATGGTTTAATGACTTTACTTTTAGATTTTTTGAGGCTTTAAAAGAAAAAAATAAATTATGTGGTGAGTGCTTGAAGTTTTTAGAGGAAAGGGAAGACAAAATTTAAGTGTTTAGTTTATTGAAATACTGATATTCATTTCGCATATTGTAATAAATCTCATTATAGTTTTCATACTAACTACGACTTATTTTTTCTTGCTAGCGGGGATGGAATATCAGTAATAATTTTTTCCAAAAGCAAATCTACATTTTGACCAGTTTTGGCGGAAATTAAGACTATATCACTTGTTTGACAGTCCAGTAATTCAATGAGTTGGTTTTGGGTAGTAGTTAATTGAGCCGACGGCAAGTCAATTTTGTTAATTACGGGGAGAACTCTTAAATTAAGATTTTTAGCGATTTCATAATAAGCCAGCGTTTGGGCTTGTATGCCTTTGGTGGCGTCCACCAGCAATATTACCCCTTCGCAGGCGGCCAAAGAGCGGAAAACTTCATACATAAAATCGACATGACCAGGGGTATCAATCAGATTAAAAATATAAGGTTCGGAGCTTTCGGGCGGATAATATAATTGGACGGCATTTAATTTAATCGTAATGCCTTTTTCTTGTTCCAAAGAAAGACTATCGAGTGCTCTTTCTAACGATTTATCACTGTTTTTTAAGTTGGTTTTTTCTAACAAACGGTCAGCCAAAGTCGATTTACCATGGTCAATATGGGCGATAATTGAGAAGTTGCGGATTTTATTTATTTCCATTATTTGTAATTTTACCTGACTCCTTAGTTAAATTAATTACTTTCTCTTTTCTAAATATTTAATTACTGATTGAGCAGCAATCGCTCCTTCGGCTACAGCCGTAACAATTTGTTTGATTTTATTCTCGTTAATTCTGGCTACATCTCCGGCGGCAAAGCAACCTGGAACTTCTGTCGAGCAATCGTCTTTAATGGTAATATAATTTTGTTGGTCATGAATACCTAGTTCGTGAGTAAAATTGCTAAATGGCAAAAGTCCAATACAAGGAAAAACCGCTCGCACTAATAATTCCTGTTCGGTCTGATTTTCTCTATTACTAATTATTATTTTTTCTACTTCTCGGTTCCCTTTAATTTCTGTTAGCAAAGAGTTGAGAAAAAAAGTTATTTGCGGATTATTTTGGGTGTGCTCCACTATTTCTTTTTCGGCACGGAAACTGTTGCGCCGGTGAATTAAATAAACTTTACTGGCAATATTACTCATATATAAAGCCGCTTCCAAAGCCGAATAACCACCCCCGACTATGGCTACTGCCTGTCCCCGAAAAAGCCAACCGTCGCAAATAGCACAATAAGAAACTCCCCGATTAGTAAACTCTTTTTCTCCTTTCACTCCCAATTTATTTTCAATCGCTCCGGAGGCAATAATAATTACCTTACTGGTAAAAATGTTTCCTTCATTGGTTCCGATAATAAACTTATTTTCCTTTTTAGTTAATTTAACGACTTCACCTTCGTTCCAATCAATCTTATAATATTTGGCCTGAGCGACCATTTTTTCAGCTAGTTCGGGTCCTTTAATGGTGATAAAACCAGGATAGTTGTCCACGTCCGCAGTTTTATTTAACTTTCCCCCCGCGAGAGATTTTTCCACCATTAAAGTTTTTAGTAAAGCCCGCTGAGCATAAATAGCTGCGGTTAAGCCCGCTGGTCCGGCTCCAATAATAAGCAAATCATAATCCATAAAAAAATGTTTACATAAAAAGTTTTAATCAGACTGGTGAGAAAATAAACTCTATATTGGCTCGTAATTTTGACCTTTTGTGGTTCTTCTTTCTTTCTTTTCTGCTAAAACACACCAATGGGAAACTCCACTATCTAATCAAACATCCATAATATCTTGTCCCAAAGTTGTCTTTTTGTCTATCAAATCGGGAAATTTCTCCCGCAAAAGTGGTAAAATACTGCTATCAAATCAGCAATCAAAACCACGATTAGAAACTATTTCAGCAACATAATCAATAATTTCGGTATTAAGGATTAGTTCACTGTTTTTATATAAAACTGGAATAGGAATTCCTCATTTTCTTTGTCGGGAAATGCACCAGTCTTCCCGAGAGGAAACGATCAATTTCATTTTTTCCTCCGTTCAGTTGGGATATCATTTTACCTTTTCAATATTTGCTAATAATTTTTCTTTAATAGACTTAACGTCAATAAATCATTGCTCGGTTAGGCGATAAACTAAAGGAGATTTATCTCGTCAATCGTGAGGATAACTATGAGTAATTATTTCTTTTTTTACTATTAAGTTTCTTTTTTCTAAATCGGCAACAACGTATTTATTAACTTCTGAATAATGTTTGTTAACTATTTCTGAAACTCCAATTTTTTCATTAAATAAGCCATTAGGTCCGAGAGGACAATCAATTATCAACTTTTCTTTTTTAGCCATCGCAAAATCCTCGGCTCCAAAAGCTGGTGCTAAATGAACTATGCCTGTGCCTTCTTTCTCTTCAATAAAATCACTGCCATCAACAACGTATCCCTTAGCACCTTTTTGATAAGGATGAAAATAAGTTAAACCCAATAGTTTTTCTCCTAAAAAAATTTTTTCTACTTTTATTTTTTTTCCTTGCCATTTTTCCAAAAGTGGAATTTTGCTTCCTAGAATTATTAAATATTCATTATTAAATTTAACCAAAGCACAAGAAGCCGTTTTTTTGACGGCTACTAAACGATTGGCCGGAATGGTTCAAGGTTGGGTGGTTCAAATGAGAAGATTAATATTTTCTTTTCCTAAAAAATTTACCCCCAACTTAATTTTAAAATAAAGCGAAGTATCCTTTTTTTGATAATATTCTATTTCGGCTTCGGCCAGTGCCGTTTCGTGTCCGCAGGACCAGTAAATTGGTCGAAGTCCTTGATAAATAAAATCTTTTTTTACCAGTTCACCAAAAACTCGTATTTGCTCGGCTTTGTATTCTTTATCCAGAGTAAGATAATATTTCTGGTAATCAGTGAATAATCCTATTTTTTTTAATTGTTCGCGTTGAATTTGGATTTGTTCCAGGGCAAATTGATGACAAGCATGCCGCAAGTTTACTTTTTTTTCT